GTTATGAAATTAACTTATTTGTAAGTACTGAGCTACTGTAGCCTTAGTTTTAGATACAGACTTGTAGCAATTAGTTATATAAACATTAGCATTTTGCTAAGACCATTCTATCCCTTAAACTTGCCTTTACAATCTCACCCGCCTCCCTCTTCCGCCTAGAGAGAGGAGGGTCCACGTGAACAGTAACAGGGCACCGGCAATGGAAGCAGACCAGGCCCAGTGGGATTTCAGATGAAGATCTGTAGTCTTCACTGAGTCATCTCTAGTCTTCAGGATATTATGACTCTGGCTTTTTCAAAAGTAAAATGAGAGATAAACAACATTAATAATTTAACAAAGAAGAATTTGGGTATCAGAATGGAAAAAGGAAACTATTCTATTAGGGAGTCAAATAAAAATGTCATGAAGAAAATTATAGCCTGGTTTTCTGTAGTCGAGAAATAACCAGGATTTAGTCCAAACTTTGGATAAATAATTTAAAAACTTAAAAACAAAAGGACAGGCTAGAATTTAACAATGGGCCTTTTTCTATTTTGAGACATAATTTTCTCTCTAGTTTCTCATTTTTATTAAAGATAAATCATGGTAGGACCAACTTATTGGTGAAATAAATTTGAGTCTTATTATACTCGGTTTGATTTTTTTACATAAGTACAGTAAAAAGTCATTGGCCATAGACTTTCTTTTTTTTGAATTGACTTTGCTGGATTCCTCCTTTTTTAAAGGAATTTCAGGTTACTTAACAGTCTCTTTAGCCAAACCTATAGATACCTATATGAATTGGGAAATTCCTCCTTTTCAAGGTCTCAAAGTAAGTTGAGATTTCTGAACCTGGGCCTCATGCTGCTTGGCTCTAAATCTAGATTCCCATGACCTCCTGTCCTCATGTTTGCAAAAGCAGTTCACAGAACTCAGGGAAACACTGTACTTATGTTTACTCATTTATTATAAAGGATATTACAAAGGATACAGAGGAAGAGGTGCATACGGGGAGGTTACGTGGAAAGGAGCATGGAGCTTCCGTTGTGACCCTCCAGGCCTTTCCACGGGTTTGACAATCTATCATTGCCTAGGCATGATCGATTACATCACTGGCCATTCGTGAGCAACTTAACCATTAGCACCTCTCCCCTTCCCGGAGCTTGGGGATAGTTAGGGCTGAAAGTTCCAACCCTCTAATCCTGTCCTGGCCATTCCTATGACAACCCCCATCCTGAAGCTACCTAGGGCTCTGCCAGCCACCAGTGAACTCATTAGCATATGAAAGACACTCTTACCACTCCAGAAATTCCAGAGGTTTTAGAAGCTATATGTCGGGAAACCAGGAAAAAGACTACATATATATTTCACAATATCACAGTTACCATCTCAAGGTAGCAGGAGACATAGCGTTTAAATTTACTGGGATTCAAAAGTATAATTATAATTTGAGCCCCAGTATTGATTAATTTCACGAAGTTTTATCAATTGGTTCATCTTAGCTGTGACCTGAGAGACCAAAATATACACCCCCTTTGTCCCTTTATCCAGCTAAGATGGACCCTAAGGTTAAGGAAACAAAACTTACCCACTGGCCAAGGATTTAAGGCTCAGCTGGCATGGCAACTCCCTAAATTCCTACAAGAAATACCACACCTTTGCTAAACTCCCAAACTATAGGAGCTATTGGGGAAATTGACAGGCCCTTCCTGACTCTGATTTACAACCCAGACCACTACAACTCTGGTTGGACAGAGGAAGGGCCTTACAAACGCTCCTTCTTGATAAGCAGCTGTAGACCTCAAGCCAGTTTCAGCTAGCTAGCAGAAACTGTGCGCACACTGTCTTTGTGTCCTATAGTTCACCTTTGACATAAAGACCAAATTCTACTTCATTTTAATCCTAAAGCCCCACCCCCAAAGTGAACATGGGATGTATGTTACATGTATGTTTACCCGTTGTGCATACACTTGACTCCCCTCATAAATATACATAGCTTTTCTCCCAAAGCTGCTGACTATATATGACTCCATTGTGTAGCATAAAATCCAACTTGCTCTTGTCCTCTTAGAAGAGAGAGCACCATGGGTCCACACAGAAGACTACCTCTTTCCAGTTTGCAAACTGATATTGCCAATAAAGCTCTCCTATTATTATCCATTCTGGTGAGCTTTTAGATGACATAGCAAATGTTAAATATGGAGGCATAAAAGCCAATCAGTACCCATCTAATCAGCCCCTCCAAGTGGTGGATCCCAATCAGGAGAGAAAATTAGTAAGCCATGAGCTATCAAAGGGCATCACCTAGGAACTTTCCATCTCATTTTAAACAACTGCATCCTTGTTGCCAGTTGTAAACGGTGGAGTGAGTCCCACGAATGGGGTCTTTAAGGATCATTCTAACGTGGCTGAAGAAATCACGTTTGTAGAGTCATATAAAATTAAGGAGTTATTTCAACTCACAGGTCCTATGGAGGGAGGCATGACATGCCACACAGGGAGCCATGTAGGAGGAGCCCCCAGAGAACAGGCTCAGCTCGGCAGGTGGAGAATGAGAGAGAGTGGAGCCCTGGGCAAGTGCAGTACTGGGAGTCAAGGAGAAGGACACAAGGAAAAGACCAGAGGGGATCTCACTGGTGTGTTTGAACATCACTAGGTCACAGGGCAGGGCAAGAAGGGGAACCTATGGCAAGGACCAGTCTTAACACACTGGTGCACCTGGTCACCTGGGCAGTGTGCTCACAACCCGTTTGTGGGATGTTGATGCATCAGGAAAACATGAAGTTTAAAATTTTTACATTATAACCAAAGATCTTTATGTCTTCTTACAACCTTGAGTTACTACGTACCATTCTTTCCTTTCAACCTAAAGGATTCCCTTTAGTGTTTCTTGTAGGTCAGGTTTAGTGGGAATGAACTCTCTCAGCTTTTGTTTATCAGAGAATGTCTTAACTTATCACACAAGTTTGAGGGACAGTTTTGCCAGGTATAGAATTCTTAGTTCACAGTTTCATTTTCTTTCAGCACTTTAAATATATCACCTCACTGCCTTCTGGTCTCCAGCGCTTCTGAGAAAAACATGGCTGATAATCTTGCTAAGCAACTCTTGTAGGTGAGGACCCACTTCTCTCTGGCTGCTTTGACGACTTTCTTTTTCACTTTAGTTTCAATAGTTGGACGATAATGTGTGGGTTTCTTTGAGTTAATCCTACTTGGGGTTTGTTTCATCATCTTGAATTTGTAGATTCATGTACTTTATCAAGTTTGAGAAGATTCGGGATATTACTTCTTCAAATAATCTTCTGCTCCTTTCTCTCTGCCTTTCTTGTTCTGGTGTTATTCCCATAACTTGTATGTCCACCCACTTGCCGATGGCCCACGAGTTCCTCAGATTCTCTTCTCTTTTCTTTATTCTTTTTTCTCTTTCTACACTGCGGACTCAATCATTTTAATTGTTCCATCTTCCAGTTTACTGATTCTTTCTTCTCCTCACTCAAATCTGTTATGGAACTCCTCTAGTGAAGTTTTCATTATTCTGCTTTTCAGCTCCTAAACTAGCCGATTCTTTTGTATAATTTTTATGTCTTCGCTCATGTTCTCATTTTGATATTACCTCTTTTTCCTGATTTCCTTTAGTTCTCTGTTCTTGTTTTCCTTTAGCTCTTTGAGAGAACTTAAACATTGAGCATGCTTAGGACATTGGTTTGAAAGTTTTGGTCTAGTATCAGAGTAGGCAGAATATATCACAAGGACCATTACAAATAAGAGTAAGAGTTAGAGAAGGACTTGTGATGATGGAAGCAAGGGTTGGAGTGATGGGAAGATGTGACTGTGAGAAAAGGAATGTGGGAAGCCTTTAGAATGCAGAAAGGCAAGGAACAGAGCCTCCAGAAGTCATGTAGCTTTGCTGGTATCTTTTTTTATCGTATATATTTAGGGTGTGCAACATGGTGCTTTGATATACATACACATAGTGAAATGGTTACTATGGACAAGCAAATGCACACATCCATTAACTCACATAGTTACCCTTTTCTGTGTGCATGTCAAGAGGACGTAAAATCTAATCTAGTAGCAAAAATAATGAGCACAATTTCATATTATTAACTAGAATCCTCATGTTGTACATGAGAACTCTAGACTTCTTCATCCTACCTATCTGCAATTTTGTGTCTTTTGACCTACCTGTCCCTATCTTCTTCCCCAACCCTACTCCAGATAACCATTTTTTCTCTATTTCTGTGTATTTGATGTTTTCTTTTCTTTTCTTTTTTCTTGATTATAGCTTAATACATCAGACCTATTTTGAACTTTTGACCCTCAGAACTATCAAATAATAAATGTCGCTTGTTGTAAGCCATTAAGTTTATTATAATTTGTCACAGCAGCATTACAACCCCTAATACAGCATGACTCTTCCATGGAGATAAAATTCCAGGGGCCTTAAAACAGTGTCGTATTCCTTGTGTAAGCTACACGGTCACGGTGCCGTGGGAGTTGTGTGTGTCTTTCTCTCTCAGGAATCCAAGCTTATGGAGCAAACCAGATCGAGGCCTTGTGGGTGTCCGTGAAAGGGAGAAGTTAGTCCACGGAGGCTCTTGCAGTTTCACGCATAGCTCACAAACTAAACCCATCACTTCGGCTCACCGCTCAATGGTCTACAGGAATCTCCTGGCCACACCCAATGCAATGGTCCAGAAAGTGCAACATTCCATGTGGCCAGAAAGTAGAGAGGCACAAATACTGGGTGAAGCATGACACTTCCACAGAGGGCTCAAGAGGTCCGCTCAGGTGCTCAAAGCCACGCTCTACTATGAAACTTAACCCCTTATTACAAATAAGGACACCTCGCTCGTGTTACAGGATTTTCGTGAGTGTTAAATGAGATGACACACGCAATGTGCAGAGCTCAAAGCCTGCTCAGGGCATGAACACGGTCAATGAAAATCATTGACAAACACTTGAGCAACGGACAGGATCACACGAGGAGGAATAAACGGCTGCTCTGTGTGTCCCTGCAGGGGTGGCAGGAGAGGAGGAGCTGCAGGTGCTCCAGCCTGACAAGTCCGTGTCGGTCGCGGCCGGGGAGTCGGCCACTCTGCACTGCATCATGACCAGCCGGGAACCCGTGGGGCCCATCGAGTGGTTCAGGGGGACTGGGCCAGGCCGAGAATTAGTCTACAGACAAAAAGACCCCCCGTCCTCCCGGGTAACGCCTCTTGGAGACAGCACAAAGAGGAACAACACGGACTTCTCCATCCGCATCAGCAACATCACCCCAGCGGACGCCGGCACCTACTACTGCGTGAAGTTCCAGAGAGCATCTCCTCACAACAGGGAGCTGAAGTCTGGCCCAGGCACCGAGCTGTCTGTGAGTGGTGAGTGCAGCGCGGCCCCTTTGTCCTGTGGGCTGGGCCAGTGAGGCAACACTAACGCCCCAGTCTGCGAGCCGCACTCAGGTGTGCTGGTGCGTCCTCATGCTCCTGGTCTGATGTCACCCTCTGCTACGCAGCAGGGACGCTAAGGCCTGGGGACGACATGCTCCTTGCTCCAGGCTGGCGGCTGGGGACGGGCAGGAAGGGCTGCAGGGCTCTGCCTGGCCCCACCGCCCCCGCCCTCCCTTCCCAGTCTGGCCCAGCCCTGCGGTTCCCCGGAGGAGGGAACTGACACAGTGAGTGACTTGCCAGTCCCAGGCCACACCTCGCCTGCTGCCTCCAGACAGCGCTGTCCCGCTCAGGGTGGCCGAGTCTCCTCTTCATGCAGCAGACACTCGCCGAGCACCTACTGTGCGCCGGCTGCGCCCGGCTGCGTGGGAACAGCAGTGAGCCCGCACCAGCGCTCCTCCCCGGGAAGCACAATCCCTCCCTTCCCATGAGGAGAAACCGTCCGGGGAAGGGCGGGGGAGGGTCTGGTTTCCGTTATTTAGTCGTCAGAAACATGTCACTGGGAAGGCCCCTCAGAGGCGCAGGCCCACTGTGGACCTGGCGCCCTGTGGGAGGAGGTGCGGGGGGCGGGCGTTCGCTGTGGGTCTGCGCAGAGAACTCTCGGGTGACTCAGGGGCTGGCTCACACGTCACGGAAGGCTCCAGTCGGGACTGGATCGTCTCAGAATGTTCCTCAGCCCAGGGAAGAGGTCCCACATGTGACTTAGGGGTTCCCCTGTCGAAGCAACAAAGATGCTCATTCTGGGTTTCCTGCCAGAGGCCTGGGATCCTCGTCTGTCTCCTGCGTCCTGGAATGTCAGCACAAGCCCACCTTCGGCCACACAGCCCAACCCCCTCTGCAGAAGGGGAGCCTGAGGCCACAAGATGACACGGGCCTTGCCCAGGCTCACAGGGGCCGTTAGTGACGGGACGAGGACCACAGCCCCTGTTCCGCTCAAAAAGTGGCGGGAGTCCTCCCCTCTTTTTCCATTTTGGCCCAGGGGGCAAGGACAACCTCGGCCCCCGGAAGGGCCCCAACCCTTTACTTGGTGCGCCGGCTTTTTTGCCGGGCCCGGGGCTGCGTTTTTGGGGGGAAAAAAACAAAAAAAAAAAAAAAGGAGTTTGGGGGAACAAAGCCCCGGGGGCCACCCCCAAAAGCGGCTCCTCCCCCGGGGAAAAAGAAAAAGGTGGCCCACCCAAAAAAAAAAAAATTTTCCCCCTCCCCCCCCCCCTTCCCCCATGAAAGGACAGAAAAACCCCGGTCCGGGGGGGGAAAAAGGGCGGGGAAGGGTGGTTCTGGGTTTCGGTTTTTTAAAATTTAGTTCGGTTCAAAAGAAAAACCCCCAAATGTTCCCACCTTGGGGGGGAAAGGGGCCCCCCTCAAAAAAAGAGGCGGGCCAGGGGGGGCCCCCCCACTGGGAAAAGAAAACCCTGGCGCCCCCCCTGGGTTGGGGTGGAAGGGAGGGTGCGGGGGGGGCGGGGGTTCGCTGTGGGGGTCTTGCCGCAGAAAAAAAAGGGGGGGGGAAAAACTCCTCGGGTTGGGGGGGGGGAACTCAAAGGGGGGGGCCTGGGGCTCCAAACCCCACCGGTCACGGGGAAAGGTCCAAGTTCCGGGGGGACTGGAAAAAATCGGGGTCTTCAGAAAAAAATGTTTTCCCCTTCCAAAAAAGCCCCCCAAAAGGGGAAAAAGAAAAAAGGGGGGTCCCCCCACATATGGTTTTTTGGGGGACTTAAAAGTGGTTCCCGCCCCCTGTTCGGGAAAAAAAGGCAAAAACAAAAAGATTTTGCTCATTTTCTGGGTTTTCCTTGGCCCAGAAAGGCCCCCTTTTGGGGGGGAAATTCCCTCGGGTTTTTTTCTGTCTATTTTTTTTTTCCCTTTGCGGGGTTTTTCCCCCTTGGAAAAATGTTCCAAGGCAAAAAAAAAAAAAAAAAAAGGGGGGGGGGGCCCCAAAACCCTTTTTTCGTGGGGCCCCCCACAAAAAAAAAAAAAAAAACCCAAAAAAGCCCCCAAAAAAAAAAAAAAAAAACCCCCCTTTCTTTTTTTTTGGGGGCGGGGCAAAAGAAAAAAAAAGGGGGGGGAAGGGGCCCCCCTTTTTGAGGGGGGGGGCCAAAACCCCCAAAAAGGAAGGGAAAATGGGGAAACCAAAAAAACGGGGCCCTTTTGGGCCCCCAAAAAAAGGGGGGTTCCCAAACCCAAAAAAAAAAAGGGGGGCCGTTTTTAAAAGTTTGAACGGGGGGGAAACGAAAAAAGGACCCCGCCCCCAAAAACCAAAAAAAAAGCCCAAAAAGGGGGGGGGGGAATTTTTTTTTCTTTTGGGAACTTTTTCCCCCAGGGCAAGCCCTTTCCCCTTTCCCCCTTGGGTCCCTTTGGTTTGGGGGGGCCCGGGGGTTTCCCAGGGGGGAAAAAACCCTTTTTTTTTTTTTCCCTTTCCCCGGTGGGAAAAAAAAAAGGGGGAAAGGGTTCTTGGGAAAAGGAACAATTTTTCCCTGGGGTTTTTTTTTGCTGAATTTAAAAAAAAAAAAAAAAAGGGCTTTTTTTTTTTTTCCTTGGGGGGACCCAAAAAAAAGAAAAAACCCCCCCGCCCGGAAAAAGGCAGGGTGCCCCCGCCCCCCTTTTTCTTTCCTTCTTGGGGGGGGGGCGCGGGCCCCCCTTTTCAAAAAGTTTTTTTTCCCCCCGGGGGAAAAAAAAGGTTTTCCCCCAAAAAAAAAAAGAAAAAAAAAAAATTTTTATCCAAAAACCCCCCCCCATCAAAAAGGGGGGGAAAAAAAAAAAAAAAACCCCTTTTTGGAGGTTCCCTTGGGGGTTTGGGGGGTGGTGGTGGGAAAAAAAAAAAAAAAAAACCTCTTCCCAAAAAAAAAAACCCCCTTTAAAAAAAAAAAGGGGGGCCCCTTTTTTTTTTTTTTTTCCTCCCTTTTCCCCATTTTAACAAAGGGGGAAAGGAATCCCAAAATTTCTTTTTTTTTTAGGGGTGGGCTGGGTGGGGGAGGGCCGGTTTTTTTTTCCCGGGGGCTTGTTTTGTGTGAACCCAGGTTTTTTTGGCAAAAGAATTTTTTAAAAAAACCCCTCCCCAAAAAAAATTCCGGTTAATTGGTTGAAAAAAAAAATGGTTTTTTTCCAAGGAAATTGGTTAAAACTTTTTTTTAAAACCCAAAAAAAAACTTTCTTTCTATTTGGGGTTTGGGGGATTTTTTTTTTTTTTTTTTTTTTTTTTTTTTTTTTGGAAAGAACCCCACAAAAAAAGGGTCTTTCCAACCCTTCTGGTCTTGGGCCCCCAAGGCTTTAAGGGGAAAGTTTTGCCAAAAAAATTTTTTGGGGGGGGGGGGGCAAAATTTTTTTTTTTTTTCAAAGGGGGCCCTTAAAAGCTCCCAACCCCAAAAAAAGGAAAAAACTTTTTTTTCCTTCCAAAAACTTTTCCCCCTTTTTTTTGGAAACCTTTGAGGCCTTTAATTTCCTTTCCCCGGGCCCCCTTTTTCGGGGGGCCCTTCCCCCAGGGGGAAGTGCTAAGGATTTTTTTTTTTTAAAAAAACAGGGGGCCTTGAAAAAGGCCACTGCGCCTGGCCAGGTTGGATTGTTTTAAAAAAGTTGTTTTTCCCAAAAAAAAAAAAAAACCCCTTTGGGCTTATGGAAAAAAAAAAAAAAAAACAAAAAAAACCAAATGCTTTTTCCAGTTTTTTTTGGGAATTTTTGGTTCCCCCTTTGTGCAAAACCCCCATTGTTTTTCTCTTTTTTTTGCTTTTCCAAATGTTGGGGCCAATTTGATTGCCCCCACTTGCGGAAAAAAAAGTTGGCATTTTTTTTTGGGCTTTAAGGTTCAAAAAAGAGGCGGCCATTTGTGTTGTTTTTCAAAAAAAACTATTTCGTGGCTTTTTATTTTATTAAAAAAAAAGTATTTTTCCTTTTTTTGGCTTTTAAGATGTTCGGTTTTTTAGCAATTTTTTCAAAAAAAAAAAAAAAAAAGTTTCCCTTTACGGAAAAAAAAAAACCCCCTGGGGACCGTTTTTTTAAAAAAAAAAGGGGCCAGGGAAAAAAAGGGGGGTTTTTTATGCCCTTGAAAGTTTTTGCAAAAAAAAGGACTAATTGCAAATCAGGAAAAGATACTGGAAAAAAAAAAAAAGGTTTTTAGCCCCAGAAATTTGGGTTTTGGTTGTCCGGGGCCCCAAGGGCCATTTTCCCCTGCCCAAAAGGGGGAAAAGTTGGCCCTCCCCCCACGGGGGTGGGAAACTTCAAAAAAAGAAAAAAAGAAAAAAAAAACTTGGCCCCCCAAAAACTTTTTTCTTTTTTGCTTTTAAAAAAAGGGCGCTCCCAGGCGGGGCAAAATTTTTGCCTTTTTGCCCAAAAATTTCAAAGCCTAAAAAAAAAACCCGATTTGGCCCCCCCTTGGGAATGAAAAAAGGAAACGGGGGAAGGGCCAAAAAAGGCCAAGGGGCCCCAGGGGGGAAAATCAAAAAGGGGCAAAAAAAGCTTGTGCCCAAAAAGGGTTGGCCCTTGTTTCCCTTTCCCAAACCTTTTGGGCCCAATTTTTCTTTTTCTGGAAAAACCCCAGTTGCTGCCGTCGGGGAAAAAAAAAGAAGGGGGGGCCCAATTTTCGGGCTTTTTTTGCCCGTTTTTTTTTTTTTACCAAAAGGATCTGAAAAAGAAAAAAACAAAACTGAGGGTCCTTTTCACGAAAAAAAAGGGGAGGGGAAAAAAAAAAACAAAAAACCTGGAATTGGTTGGAAAAAAAGAAAAAAATGAAAAAAAAAAGTTGGGGGGAAGGCCCAAAAAAAAAAAGGTTTTTTCCAAAAAAAACAGAAAAAAAAAAAAACAACCTTTTTCCCACCAAGGGCCCCTGGGGGAAACCCCCAAAACAAAAAAAAAAAAAGGGGCCCCCGTTTCTTGGCAAAAAAAACTTCCCCAAAAAAAAAAAAAAAGCCATCGCTGGGTCCAAGGAAGTGGTTTTTGGGGGCAAAAAAATG